GTTACTGCTTCCGATATATTTTTACGCCGCAGATTGAAAAAACGCGCCATCATATTATTGCATCATATCTTTTGCAGTATTTCACATGTACCGAGTTCTTTCTTTCAGCCTTTAAACTTCAGCATTATCATATTAATATTATAATCATTAGAATATTTTCTAATTAGGCTAACTTAAAAAGATATTTTATTCAAATGTAGCCAAATAAGGGATAAAATACAAAACATGGCAAACCTTATGAATTATTCACAGTGAGATATTAACTTTCCAAGATTTTTTTTTGGCCTTACGACCTCTGAGAATCAATACATTTGTGAAAGCTCTTATGAAGGGTACAATTATGTTTAGATTTGTACCCAAATTACAATGACAAAACTGCATAGAATATTTGGCTTGTTCGCACATCGCCTCGTTGACATAACATAAGCGGAGGGATACACCGGAAATTTTCTAAATTTCTTCCGGTTTAAGGACGCTTGTTATTGTTTACATTAGACCACCCATCCATATCACAGTAGACAACCATATTTTAGCAATTGGCTTTGAAATTACCGCATCGATTTTCTCCCTAACGAATAAGAGTTTGAAAATTTTCCTTTTGACTGGCCCTCTTGACGTCCTTATCTAGGGACGTGGCTTCATCCTGAGGACTTAAAATATCGTAATGTGCATGCTGCACTTACATTGCACCTCTATAAAAGTATTCACGATGCATGAAATGTGTATTGGGAGATGCGACCTGATTGGCGAGTTTTTTTATAGCAGATACATTTCACCAATCAAGTTCTCGGTCGCATCACCGAATTCTCAGGCGCAAATTTCTTGCGTTGGCAGGGATTTGGTTGCCATCACACATTTCACAAATTACGTCGATATCACATGCTCTAGTTATAATCACATGTAAGCTATATGGTAAATTTAATTTTCTGCAAAACTGTTAAAATTATTCGGATTATCAATTTCTTGCTGTACCCCTTTTGTCGATATCGGAACTAAATATATTTAATGAACTTATTTTGTTAATTTTCTGTTTTAAAATGAAATTTATCTGAAATACAATAAATTCAATAAAAAGTAGACTTCTCTGACATAATTTAAGACGTAATTTGATTTTAATCAAATAGTTATTTTGATTTATCATCATGTCAAGTTTTGTATAATTTGCTTTATATTTTCTGTAGTTTTCTTTTATTGAATAATTTGCCTAAACAAAGAAACGTGATATCAGAATTAATTTAGATTTATATTGACTTGTTCCACGTAGTGAGTTCTTTTTTAAATTGTGTTTCCCATTTTGAAAGGAAAACTGTTGCTACTTTATTTAGTTTTGTTAATAGGTTTTTGCTTTTTACTGCTAGTAACTTTTCATTGAAAGTTTAATACAGTTCTTCTATAGTACTTCTACATAAAACCATTCATTAACTCTTTCCTGATGTATTAATGAAATAATGAATTTTGTGTTTTTATGAACTTTTATAACGAAAAATATATTTAAAAAAAGTGAATAACTTAACACGTTAGACTAAGCCTTATACTTTCTGACATAATTTTATGATTATATTTCAGGTTTACAAAAGGAAATTTTCTAAAAACTTTTTTCAAACCAGTTTTTTTTTTTTTTTTTTAAATTTATTTTTAAATTATTTTTTTAGAAAAGAAAACAAACTAAATGTTACATAATGCACAAATAATTAGAAATTTGAAAAATTAAAGTATGAGCTAAATTAATAAAATGTATTGTGAAAATATTACAATAATTTATAAAAGTATGCTTTAATGCTCTTTACACTGAAAACAGGATAAAATTCTTAAAAATAAAACATATAATTAGGGTTCACTCCAGTATAATGACATTGTAACAATCGTTGCCAAATGTTGCTTTAAATATGCATCGGCGAAAATATTGTCGATTTTAAATATGTTCGGAAGTTACAAAATAGTAAAAAAAAATGTTTTGTTTGTTTTTTTGCATCAAAATCCATGCATTTTAAAAAAAGCCTACTAATTTTATTACATGAGTAGGTTAGGTTTCAGCTTTAAGATTTTTCAAATGAAAAATACCTGTTATTTTGAAACTTTTATTTTGCTGCTTATTGATATATGTGAGGATAATAATTATAATGTCTATGCATATTTGTCTAATGTGGAACCATTAACTCAGGTATTTCTTCATGTACTGACAGTGTAATCATTCATCAATAAAACATAATTTTTTGCTCTTTTAAAATTTACTTCATTTTGAATTTTTAGATAATTTTTAATATATTTAGATAGTTTTTACTCTCTCTGTTTTCCTCATTTATTTATTAATTTGGTCTGAGCATTTTAATCTGTATGTTAAATCTATTTACTAATATTATTTTAGCGGGTTTTTTTTTCATTTAATTTTAATGAATTCTAATCTTTAAAGAAAATAAACCTTATTAGATGGCAATTAATAACTTTTCATGTGTACCATAACATAAATCATGCAATTATAAAATTAAATTTTTTTTCTATCAAGTTTGTCTACTATATTAATCTTTCGAACCATTGAATGAAGACCTAGGTGGCTCTATAGAACCACTGAATTTCCATTGTTGGTGTGAACCCTACATATAATTCAGAAAAGTAAAATTATTAAGTTAAACTGGAAAAAAATTATTAAAATAAACTGCTAAATAAAATATATAACTCGGAAAAGAACATTATTCCCTATATAACTTTGATTATAAGTAGCATAATGTATCTTACAGCATAGAAAAAAATTTCTTTCTCTCTTACTCATTCAATAATTTTATTAGTTAACTGATATTTAAACTATAAGAACAATAATGTGGTGGTGGTTCATTTATTTCTAAACATGTTTTAACCTTAAATTTGTACTAGCAATGATTTATTTATTCCACATAGATATGTTTTCTGGAACATAATAACACATAAGCATTTAAAAATTACATATTTATGTTTACTTAAAGTAATGGAGATTCACATCAGCAGTTAATCAAAAAAATATTAAAAAAATTTTATTATTTATTTATTTAGTATTTTCTTATGTTCCAACTAAAAAATTTTTAAACTAATTATTTAAAATATTATTTAGAAAAATATCAAGCTTACGTTTGTTTTTTGTAACAACTGTTTGGTTTAAATAAACCAACTCTGCTATAGTGTAAGAAAAAATTTTCTTCAATTTTATTTAGTTGTTAAACTATGAAATAAAACATTGATGTCTGATACAAAATATGACTAGGCATTTCCAATGTGTACATTTTACTTATCCATTAATTATTAAATAGCTAAATTGAGGATATCAATAGTTTAATATGCAATTATGAAATTCGCACGACTATTTTTTTGGAATTTTGAATAGATTGAGACTATTGTTTTTATTCGAAAGTTAACATGTTATCTTTTGTAGTACTAAAAACTTTGTAAGTCTGAAAGTTTTTTTTCTTATTACTATTATTATTTTTCTATTAAACTGATTTTATTGTGATGATAAATTGTTGCGTGATAATTTTTTAATTTTTTTTAAAAAGAACATTAATTGTAAAAAAGATGTGTGATGTAAAAGACTCAGCAGAGTGCCCAGTTATTTCTTCAACTGATGAGTATTTGGATAAAGAAATCCTGTCCCAACCAGAAAGCCATGAAGAAAATAATAAAGATAATTTGCCTGAAGTTAAAGAAAAACCTGATATAAGTAGTGTTGGTAAATATAAATTTTATTTCTTCTCCTGGTTTTACTGCCAATTTTAATTACTTATTTTTTAAAGATATATCTGACTTTTTAGTGCCTCTGAAAGTTCTTGAGAAGTTATCTGATGGTATTCTATCACTTTATGTAAGTGATCTGAAGAAATCCTCATCGAGTCTAAATGAATTAACGTGAGTAAATTTTAAGCAAAGTTTGTTGTATTATGGGTGGCAATTTTAACTTAAAATAACTTTTATTTGAATGAATTTTTTTGATTTATTTGATTTTTGGTTATACTTGTAAAGAAAGTGTATGAGCTTCTTTTGGAATAGACAGGGAGGAGATTTTTCCGCTTTTTAGCAGATTTCCGCTTTTTTTCTCTGGAATTTCAGCTTTTTTATCGAAAACTCCGATTCTATAAAAGTTTTTTTTTAATAAATATTCTGCTTTTTTAGAAAATTTAGCGGTTGAAATAAAATAATTATATTTATTTCTGATTTTCAGAGATAAACAGAAAATTCAAACTACATAGCTACCAACCCTTCCGCATTTTTACCTACTTTAGCTATTTTCACTGCTTTTACGGCAGAAGATAAGATTTTCCGTATTTTTACCCGCTTGCCAGATAGCTTGTATTCTTTGTAATTAAATAGACGTTGCTTCAAACAAGCCTTTTAGAAGTCTCAAGCCCGGAATCTGCTAATATCTCAATTCTTATTAACGCGATTTTTATATCAAATGTAGCAAAACTTTCGTGTTGCGATTCTTATTCACGCAATTTGAATATCGTACACTGTGATTCTTATTCACGCAATTTGAATATCGTACACTGCGATTCTTATTTACGAGCTTTAAAAATCCAATATCGCTATTTGTATTTACACGTTTTTAATAACCTAAGTAGCGATTCATATTCATGCAAGTTTAAAATCCAATGTCGTGATTCGCTCATGCAGTTATAATATTAAACATCGATTTTCGTATTTATACATGATTTAAAAATAAGGCATCGCAATTAATATTTACGCGATCTAAAAGTTACGCATCACGATTTGTATTTACACGATCTAAAAGTTATGAATCGTGATTTGTATTTACGCTATTTAAAAATTCTATATCGCAGTTTGTATTTTCTCATTTTCAAAGTCAAATATCGAGTTTCATATTCACATGATTTCAAAATCCATTATCGTGATTCACATTCACGCGATTTTAAAATCCAAGATCGCAATTTGTATTTACACATTTTTAAAATCAACTATCGCTATTCTTATACGAAGTTTTTTTTTTCTTTAATTAGTTACTATAAAGGTGACTAATATACTATCAATTATTATTACTATATATAGGAATTACAACACAGTGAAACTGGAAGAGAATATATTCAAAACTTGCATTCTGTGTTTGCAAAGAATAAAAAATGGGATTTGTCAAAAGATGTTTCAAGATGGGCTAACGACTAAATTAATCACCAATCTATTTTTGTCAGTTTTGCTATTACTACAAGAATATATAAAACTTTTCCCACTTGGAGCACCCCTCATTCACAAGCTGCATTACAAGCAATTTGACCTTGTTAAAGGTTTTTTTTCCTTTGTTTTGTGAAACATGAAGCATTTGCAGCTATCGGAAATTAAAAAAAATATATATAGCAAACTTAAGGGATATAGCAAACAAAAGCAATCACTTAAAAAGTGATAAAATTTTTATTTGGAAAAAGAGTTCACGCAGTGCCAAAATCCAAATTTTAAAAAATAATGTTGCTGTTATTTATGCTATGAAATGCAAAATTCTTATCAAATGAAAAATAATTATCTAAACAGTTGCTGATTATCATGTAATTATTCAAACTAAAATAACAATTTTTGTATGTTAAGGAGTTACTATATATTTCTACTTCACAGTTATTGATATGTTTCACAGGGCTCTAGCTAGATGAGATTATAATATGATTGTAGTGATTCCAATTGTAAAAGTTTCTTTTCTTTTCTAAATAATTTAAAAAGTCATGTTACTGATATATTTGCTATAAATCACATAACAGTTTTTATTAAAAGTAATGGAATGTTAATGTATGTTTTCAGTAGTTTTAATTTGCTAAATCAGGCAGTTTCTCAACTAATAATTATCTCTTATGTGAACTAAAGAAAAATATAATTTCTAGTTTTATTTTTTCAATTGGTAATTTTACTTTTTACTAAATGTTAAGTATTGATATAAAATATTTATGTAATAATAAATTGGTAGACAATTGCATGTCAACACATTGTTGTTATCTTAAATTGTTTGGAATTTATTACTAAACGATTGCATACGCATAAAATTTACTCGTGTGGAAATTCAGCTTTTTTGCCTTTTGGCCAATCTCATCCCTGAATAGAATGAGAACCATTAAAAGCATCTCTTTTAAGTTTACATTTTTATTAATAGTCAATAGTACTTATGTTCTAAATTCACATAGTTGCAACTCAGCTCCTAGAAATTCAAATATAATAAATTATTCATGCTAAGATTTTTATCTTTTATTAGTTTTTCTTCAGGGTATCATATTATGAAATATCCTTATGAGCAATTGAAGCATTTTTACAATTTCAATTCATTTATTAATAAGATTGGAAATTTTGATTGTTATACTTAAGTTATTTACTTTAATGTGTAAAAAATTCTTTTTACTTATTTTGATATTGTATATTTAATATATTAAGCGTATTAAGCAAATTTAATATATTAAGCTATTTTTGTTTCTAAAATTATTCAAATTTTATTTATATTTTTTCTGATCATAATACGAAGATGATATAATAGGAATTAAACTTAAATTGGATTAAATAATATAAATTAAAATTTTAGACATATAATTAATTTTTCTTATATTAAAGATTACAATACTTACCACAAAAGCTGTTTCAAATCTTAATTTCTTACAAAAGCTTTACTTGTGTTTTCTTGGTGAAATTATGAAGGTTAATAGCCTGGAACCCTACCATGAGCTCCATGGAATGAAATTCCATCTGGGAATGACGTCACGTTCCAACGGGAATTATTTTTCCCCACCACGAACACCTTGGAAAGAGTTTCTTGGCTGGAATTGGAATCGGTTTCATTCCAACCAGTCTCCAGCACCTAGAATCGTCGTTCCAAGGAGGGAATGATGAATTTTTAAGGACTAAATATGATATTTCGCCGATGAATGTCTTAATGTTTTTCCTATTTCATAAGAGAAGATAACAAAATTTCTAAAAGATAAACGTGCCTGAGCCATTTTCAAGACGATAATTAAAAGAGAAATGTTTTGTTTCATTAGTATGTGTGAACGAAAAGATACTTTCAGAGTTAACTAAGAAATTACGGCAAACTAAATTATGCTCTCATTATATGATAATTGTTACTATTTCTGTGTTATTATTACCTGGGATATATTACTTGGCCAATACCTTTTTTTGAAGTTTAAATCATTTCTTTTTTTAATTTTCCTTCGATGAACTTTTAATTCAACAGTATTTAACTTCCTTTCGAATGATAGTTCTTTATACTATACACCAATGGCAGCACATTTAAAAGAATTTGTTATAGGCATGATGTAGTATAAAGTAAACAATTTATTTATAATTAGAAATACAAAAAAGAATAAAAACGTTTCAAAAAATATTTATGAAATTTGTATTTATTTCTTCTTTTACTCATTTTAAATTTTTTTATTCTTCCATTAAAATATATACTATAAAAGCTGTGGAAGTAGTTCCCTGAACTATAATTTTTAAGTATTTCATACGTAAAATGATTTTACAAATCACGAAAAAAAATTTATGCAGTTCTATAAATTAATTTCTTGTGAACATATTTACTTAACTATGAGTAAAAACAGTCACTTTAATAATGTAACAAATAAACCAAAGTAATAAGCAAAGTAGTAACTTTAGTCATTCATATTGTTACAAATTTAATTGAAAACTAATGATCTTTTCTGAAATTAAATTAATTTCAAAGAGACCAAGGTAAACGTTAATTTTTTTGTCTGATAAAATTTAAATTCTTTCTGGCAATTAGTTTTGATTTAAAAACTAGTATAATTAGTAATCTATCTACCAGGTAGTAAGGTACCCAGAATTTCATTTCTTGGTTATTACCCGGATTCGGCAAAAAGATTTCACTGTGGGGCACGAGGTACCCAGACCTGGTTTTTAGTCTCAGGATCCAGTATCCAGACCCAGCCAATTTTTTCATGCCGTCTAACTGGAATCAAAAACACATGGTGTTCCTATCATTTCTGTTAAAATATAAAGCCCTGGAAACATGGCTAGGTGCATGGTCATGGTTAAGTGGTGAGTGTCGCTGAAAAGAAAATGAGCCTGTGTGGGACACATCCTCTAGGTTTTAAAATCAAATGCAAGTGGTAAATTTTAGATGCTAACAAACTTTGCCAAAATAGTAAGGAATTCATAATTTCACTATTATAAATTACTGTCAAGACCCTTTTTCTTAGGCTTCTGTATTCAAATGTATTGGTGGTAAAAAATTTATGAGAAATAAAAATTTTTTAATGGAAACAAACTTTTGTAGCAACTACATAACAGTTTTTGAATTTTATGCAAATAAGGTTGTGTGAATCTCTTAAAATAGATTGAGTGCTGTTTTGCATGACAAGGAATGATTACTGGTTATTTTGATTATTTATATTTATTGAGAAGAGTTTTAAAGGGAATAATAACTTAGTTTTTAAATTATTGAAAATATGTTATACATATTTTTGCATCATAAAAGTAATTTCCTAGCTTCTGTATATGTTTGGCTTAATTTTTATTTATGTATGAATTATAGTAACTATTCTTACATACATAATATAATAGTATTTGTAGGAGCAAAGAAGCTATCGTTTGATCACAGAATTTATTTATCACACGGTTATATTTTAACACCAGAAAGGCTTATTGAATACACCTGTAAGTATAATTTGAGTAGATCAATCTTGTAATAGTGCAAGTACAAGATCCATACATGTGTTATGAGAGCTCCCTATTAACCTGCATTATGCTTTAAAAGTAACAACAATTTAACACACTATATATATTAATTCAAAATAGGTTTATATTTTAATTCAATATATTTTTTAAATTATTTCTTGAAGAGATAGTTTATTTTAACAAGTTATCCATAAATTTAAATTTTCTGTATTGTAATAAAACAAGAACTAGTAAGTTATCTTTTCACATATTAGTTATTAATTTATGAAATTACATGCCATCAATTTTATAAAGTATAGAACTATATTTCACAATTTCGTTTATTATTATTAATTAATCATTTTTAAATAATTTACTGTAAAATGGGATAAAAATTGAGAACCATGGTACAGTTTCAAAATGATTGTAGTTTTATACAATGTCTTTCACTTATTAAAATCCCATTTGTCTGAGGATATTGGATTTTATGAAGCTTCTGATTTTCAAAACCAATATACCCTACAGGGGGGAGGGGTCTAAAAATTAAACTAAAATGCAATAGCAGCTAAATTAACTGCTGCATTTATATTTTATTTTAACTATTTTAATTTACATTTGAGATTTTGGTTTAATAAGCTGCTTTTTTAATTTACAGAAGGGTTTTTAAATTTAAAAAAATATTAAATCGTTTGTGAATCAGTAAATGTTTTTGTAACTTTCAATACTACATTGTGTGTCAAAGTTAAATTTGGTTACATTTTGAATTTATCCTTGACGCTAAAATCATGCCATTTAGCCATGTTGCTATGGTACAAATTGGACTTAAAATAAATATAAAAATGTAATCTCACTCTTTATTCATTGTTGAGTCATTATGTATGACCATAAGCTGGTCTTATATGTATTATTGTTACATATTACACTCTTCATATTACATTCTCCTGACTCTTTTCATTAGATTGTATGACTTAATATAATATATATGGTTTATGTCATTGAATAGACAAAGCATTCAATATATTCTTTAGTTTATTTGCATTTGAACTTTTTTTTTTTNTTTTTTTTTTTTTTTTTTTTTTTTTTTTTTTTTTTTTTTTTTTGAAACTTGCTATGGCTGCTTCATTTTCTCTTAACTGTGAGGGTAACCCAATGAATTATAATCATTGACATTGAGTGATGATGGGCATCCAATGTCTTTTTTTAATTCATAAGTAATTTTCATTTGGTCTATTTTCTTCCCCTCTATTGGTTTTATTATTCTTTTAACTATGATCTTTAATTTTCACCAAGAAGTGTAATTTGCACCTGTAGGGTTGTTTCTTTTGTTCATGGGTTGTATAAGAAAAAACATTAAGTTTTTAAAACATATGCTCTCTAAAAACTTCATTGTATAAAATTGCAATAATTTTATTGAAAGATAGTTTTAACATGCTTTGATATTGCTATCATTTTGATCTTGCTGATTTAATTTAAAAAAGCAGCTGTTTATTAACTAGTAATTTTTCTCGTGGCGGTCATTGCAATTGGTAATTAATTAAGAACTAATTATTTATAATTTTTTTTAGGATTGTGCATTTAAATATTTGGTTGACCATCATTTGTTTAATTTTTTCTTTTGATTTACCATTTTGAAAGTAAGAACTGTGAAAAAATTGAGAAACATAGCAATTATTTAAGGATTATGTTACAGTTTCAAAATTATTACAGTTTTATACTTGGTAATTAATAAGTATAAATTATTAACTTTTTTTTTTTTTTTAGAATTTTGCATTTGATTTTTCTCTCAATTGTTTGAAATAAACAAAAGCATTATTTTCTTAAATAATTAATTAATTTAAAGCAAAATTACAAAAAAAAATTTGAATCATTCACATGCTTTTATATCCTTAAAAAACTTGTTTTTTTGTTGTATTAAATTAGGAGAAACCAGACTATTGTTATTGAAACTTTAGAACAAGAAAGTGCAAGGGTTGTTGAAGCACTTCGAACTTATCAATTAGATGATATGGTATGTTAATGCTTTGATCCTTGTAATGACTATTAATACCTCCAAAGTGGATGTTTTTAGAGCAAAAAGATGATTAATAAACTATAGTATCTTAAAATATAGGTTGCTTTGTATCTATACCTAAAATTTTATTTTATCAAGGTTTTCATCGCCTGACTTCATGATATCAATTTTTCTTATAGTACTTCATTTAATATTTTGTTTGTGTTTTTCTTTAGTAATTAATTCACTTTTCATTTAGTTTACTAAAATTTTTAAAAGGATTTATTAATGTAGCTTTTGTTAAATGTAGAATTATTTTAAATAAAATTATGGTGTATTGAATAAAAAATGTGTTAACTACCTTTTTTCCAACTCAGCAGCCGCTTTTAAAGATTCACGATATGAATCACATGAATCTATTTTCATCATTCAGAATGGGCAACATTTTCTTTTATGTCGTTGGTCTGCTTCAGTTTTATGCAGTTCAGTAAAAATTACTCACTCATCTGTACTTTAGCAGGCATCTGACCAATATTTGTTGGCAGATTTCATTTTTTAGACATTGATTAAGATATCTGAAGCAGAATTTAAGTAAATGAATAACTGAAATACGCGAGTAACAATAGCAATGAAAAATTCCCTACATTAAAGTATAAAATAAAAGTTACTGAGAATAGTAAAGGGGAACTAGACAAAAATTAGACACACTAAGTGACTGTGTACACGACAAATTAAAGATATTTAAATTAAAAAGTGATCGTTATTAGGTCAGTATTTCAGGGTATTAGATTTACTGTATGTAATTCTTTTTAGATCAGAATTTTAGTGGTTTAATTTACTGTTTCTGAGTTTTTTTCATTTTTTAAACATTCAATTCATTGAATTCATTCATTCAATTCATACTACCGCACTTTTAGATTTTGAATCCTCGTCTAATGGGATCTGATGGTAAGCTTTTACTAGGCCAATTTTTGAGAATATAGTTTTACCAGCTAAGCCAGATGAAAAATCCTGAATATGCGGTATGGGATAACGATCCTCTAAAGTGACCGAATTTAACTTTCCATAGTCGCCGCATACACGTCATTCATCATTCTTTTTTTTGACTAAATGAATGGGACTAGACCATGGGCTACTTGAAGGAGAAACTATACCCTGTTCTAAAAGAATGTCAAACTCATTTTTAGCTGCTTTAAGTTAGTCTGGGGCTAAACGTTGAGCCTTTACACAAACCGGTGGACCTCTTGTTATGATAGAATGAGTAACATTGTGCTTTTTAGGACTTTTTAGAAAAGATTGATTTGTAATACCGGGAAATTTTGACAAAAGCCTATGATACTCAGTATTTCCGCAAATCGTTGTTAAACTTAATGATTTTCCGCGAACCCGTGTACCCTTAGCTGAAAATCTCGAAGTTCTATCAATCAATTTGCGATTTTTTATGTCAACCAATAAACCAAAAAATTCTAAAAAATCTGCACCCAAGGTAGGTCGCACTACATCAGCAATAGCAAAATTCCATATGAATTGCCTTTTTAAACCAAAATCTGACGTTAATCTACGAAAACCGTATGTGTTTATTTTAGTTCCGTTCGCAGCGAAGATTGCTATCTCCGTAGTCGGTTGCTTATGAATGTGTGGGTCACATGGAAAAACTGAAATTGACGCGCCAGTATCAACTACAAAATTAAAACCTAATTTTCGGTCAAATATGTAGAGGCGACTGAACTTTAACCCACTATCTGTCGTCACCGTAACAGAAGCGGAATTCAGTTTTCCGAGTATGAACATTTACTAACACATTTTTTAGCATTTTTACCAAGTTTAAAATGGTACCAACAATACTGCTTTTCTGAAGTTTTATTGACATTATTCAATTTCGAATGAGGCTTTGAACCAGACCGTTGACGAAATTTACTTCTATTGTAACTTTTTTGTCGAAAAGTCAATTTTTCAACTTTTTCGGAAAGTTCAGAAATTTGAGATTGTAACTCTTTTAAATCAACGGAAGAAATATTATGTTCTGTACTTGAAGTACCGAAACAAGAAACTTCGTTTATTTTATCCGCGATTTGAGCCAAATCATCAAGTTTGTCTTTACTAATTGACAATATTTGTTGGATATTAATAGGAAGTCGCTGAATAAACAATGTTTCGAAAACATCGTCAGATATTTGACTACCAGCTAACGATCTCATTTCATGTAATAATTGTGTTGGTTTTTTCTCACCTAAATACAATTCCTGTAACACAGTCCTCAATCGCGAACTTTCGGACTGTGTAAAATGTTATACAATACATTACTTAAGAACCGTGTATGGATTATCTGTAGGTGGAACCTCAACGATATCTTTTACACAAGAAAGAACTTCCATATTTAACGCTACGACAACGCAGTGAAATTTTGTTACTTCTTTTCAATTCCCGACATCACAAAATTTGATTCTACTTGAAGAAACCATAAATTTATTTCGGTTTTCCAAACGGGTGGAGCTCGAAATGCAACTCTGGCTATTTTGTTTTTGGCCATTATGCTACAAAGTTAATGATTTAAATGCCTTTGAAAATGTATTAAAAACTGGTACATTATTCAAGAAAAGATATGAATAGTTTACACAAGCATTAATTCAATTTTACATTGTACTTTATGAATTCAAACTCAAATTGTATTGCTTAACTCAATTGTTTACAAGTCCATAAGAATTTAATTAAATTCAATACGTTTAAATTTAAATTGCACTAGTGCATAGAAACATTAAAACCTATAAAAATTGCATATGCACTGCTCTGAAAAAGAGAAACATCAACCAGGAAATAACTACTCACTGCGTACCAGGTAGCCAGCCACGTTCAATAAAAATAGTAATCCATAAATCCACATTTTCTTTCACTCTGAAGGGTGTCACTACTTCTACATCCGGGTCACCACTTGTGGAGGTTGGTATGTTTGGTAGAATCCCACTTGAACTCTGAAAAGAAATCTGACTCCAATTTTTGTATAACTTTCAACATGAAAATGTCCATGAGAAAGAATTATAGGTTTATGTCGTGTTACTTTATATGTAACATTCTAAGTTTAAATAAACAACTATCTTTATTAGCACTTAAGAACTTGGTAAATTTAACTGAACATCTTAACATAAATAAAATATAACAACTTTAAAATTCAAGCAACATAGAAAAAGCTGCAAATGAGTAACCGGCAAGGACATGCCTAACTGCTAGCTAGTTACTCATGAACCAACGGAGAGAGAGCTGTGGAGAGGCGGCCAAGATATATCAAAATGCATCCTGTGCGCGTTTCGCCGATTTCGTACTTCACGCATATACTGCGAGGAAATCTCCATTCAAGTGTGAGGTCTACGTCATACAACAATTATCGACTGCAAGCGACGTAATCCAATGTCAGAGATTCGTATATTCGGACTTTGCAAATCAGACCGCAACACCACAATACCATGCAAATTTTGCTGATCTTTGAAATTCTGTTCTGAAAGTATTAAAAATATAAGCAAATTTCTTATTACTTTACCCCATGAATGAAATTTTTTATATTTTGTTGTGCATGCTTCTGACCAGATTTTTATGTTTTAATATTTATTTTGAAATAACCTTTTGGTTTTCTGAAACAGTCATTGTTTTTTTTTTAATTAATATTTTTAAAAATTTATATTTTTTGTTTTTTTAAATTGAAATTCGTTTTTCAGTTTTCTAGAATCAAGCACTATCATGCTAAAGCTCAAATTTTGAAAAAGGAGATGTTGTCTATATATGACAGGACTTCAAAACTTAAGGTTAGTTAGTTGCTCATTTTCTAGTTTATGTTAAATTTCTTGATACTTGAGATCATTTAGAGATTTTTTATTATAAGATACTAATGTAAGTTTATCATATGATGTAAAGAGCACTATCCTTTATAAATTGTTTGATGAATTTTTCTTTACCAAAAGTTGATAAGAAAGGATGTAGATGATTTTTAAAATGCTTCTTGATTGTATGAACAAATATATTCTTTTTTTTTTTTATTTATTTCTGAACACGAAAGTTGACATTGACACTACAAAAGATGCTTCTCTTTAATTTTTTAAATGTGCTTTAAAAATTATCTGGGAAAAATTACATTAAATAGTATCTTTTACAAAATGTTCAAGTAATAAACCCGGTTATTATTAATACTAACAGATCAATATTAATAATAACTGCTTCTTTTGGTCAAAGTGAGAAATATCGCAAAGTATTCACTTTACCTGGTTATTATTAATAACAACCAATGAAGTTTGATCAATGTGATTGAACATTATATAGCATTGGAACATGGGTGTGCCTCTTTATATATGGGTTAGGATTAAAGTGATAAATCCGCTTATTATTAATATTAATCGGTCACTATTAATAATAACCGCTTCTTTTGATCAAAGTAAGAAGTAAAAAAGGGAGATTTCTGTATCTGTGGCAGAATAATAGCCAAGTCTTAGCAATTTCTGGGGAGCAGCCCGTGAGAAACTAAAAAAACATTACAAAAAGGGACCAACTCAAAGAGTAAAACTGTTATAGTTTGTCTAAAATGAGAACTCCTCCAGACATTTGTCTGGACCTGTGGCGGTGACTATGGTAATGAAGTATGACTATTTCTAGTAGGGATCCCTGTTTTGGAGTGGTTTCGAGCCAGTTCAGCAAGAGAAAGGTAATCTCTTCAGTCTATTGTGTTAGTTCTAGAGTGAAGCTACCCTCCTTAAAATGCGCCATTCTTGTTTCCAAAGCACCAGATGGCCTTAGACTTACTGGCGAGATGAGTTCTTAACTTAGACAGACTCTCGTCACATCTGGCAAACATCTACATGTTTTGTCTTTTATTTTTATTTTCCAGTTTTAAGTCAATTTGGTGCCTTAGCGATTGTAGTTGACATGGCAGATCACGATACTGAAATATTCACAGCAAAAACTTGAAAGTATGACATTGACCAACCTCATTGGTTTTTATTATTAATAACTGGTTAATGTGATAAATTCATTTTAATTATTCACTTTAACAGGCTTATTTGGTTATTATTCATATTCACCTTTTAGTATTAATAATAACTGACTATTCACATTGACCATAACTTATATGTGTATATATATATTATAAAAATCTATAATTGCTAGCATTTTTCAAAATAAATTTCAAATGTGATATAGTTGCAGTTTTTGCCAATTACATTATTATTCGCTTTAGTAAAAGTCAATTCTCTTATTCTGTTCTCAGAAACGTGCTATGAAGATGCAGCAGCAGAAACAAAAAGAAGCTTTACAAAAAGAACTTCAAAGAGATCGTGAATTAGAAAGAGATAAACAGTTAGCCCCAAAAATTGCTACGAAGCCAACACCAGAAAATTAAACATAAAATTTTGACTAAACTAAATCAGTGAGCAAAAAATTTTAGTTGATTTGTAAATATAGTATATTAATTGTTCCATTGTTAATGTGTACTGTTGGGATGTACAATAGATTTATCAATATAAGTTAGAATTGCACTGTTACACAAAGACTTGTCTTCATTAAATATTTACTGTTGTGTAGATATGTATATTAATCATTCCATGTGAAATCAAGCATTCCATATGAAATCAAATTGAACCTGGCCATCTCAAATTTTCTTAAATATTTAAGAATTACATTCTTTGACTTAATTTGTTACATAAATAAAAAAATATTGTTAATTTTTTGTATTAGTTATAAAGCTGTTTACTTCCTACTGGCTATGCTTAAAAATGTTGTACTTCAAATTCTATTCTTTGTTAAAATTTGCACAAAAGCTTATTTGAAAAAAAAGGCTTGCTCTTAACAATATGAATGGATTTCACTCACCTCTATTTTTCAAGAAATTTTAATAATAAAGAAGTAAAAAAAAATTTTTTTCTAAGAAATTTTGAAAGTGTGTTTACTGTAGATTTCCAAATGTAAGCCAATCCGCGTATTAGCCGAAAAGTGTGCTCATTATTTGAAAATTAACCCAAAATTCAAAACTTGGTATTTCAGATTCATATAATCAGTCCCATGAGTATTTCAGATGACTAACGTAGATTTGCGTCATATAATCAGTCCCATCTGTGATTACGGTATTTATGTTAGCAGTTGTTCAACTGGGCAAAATGCCAAAATAAAGTATCACAAAGGATTTTTATATTTAGGCATTCCGCTTTCAACTATTATTTTATGCTTTTTGTGTACATTTCATGCTATTAACTGATTATGGCTATTGCTCCGATTAAAGGAAAAGTATTTTCGTCAACAATGTCCTAAAAGACATTCTCAATGTTGTAGATCTAAGACCTTTCCCCTCAGTCTTTCACTTTCAAAATTTTTTTTAAGTGCTTGGAAATATACAATTATTATAGAATTGTTTTATTAATGTTTCATGAAAAAAAATCAAATTTGAGCCATTTAAGTTCTAGTAAATAATGCAAGACAATCTATAACATATCTAAAATTGTTTCATGAAACAATTTAAAACTATATAAAGTAATAATGTTTTTATCTTTTGATAATAAATATAATGCAGTCGAACCTTGTTAAGATGAAGTCGAGGAGTAGAAAAAATTTCTTTTAGATTTACAATAGTTCATACTGATCGATAAAACAACTAAAGTCATTTAAGTTACTTTCAGAAAACAAATCACTAAAGCAATACCAAAGAATTTAAATGCTATTTGTAAGGAAATAAATATAATTATTAAAAAATAAAAATTAAAATTGGAAATATATTTAGACCTCTGGAATAGACTTTAAAAAAATTACTTATTCTCAATTCTTAACTGTTGAAAAATTACTAGCAGGTATTGTGCATTTTGTTTTAATTTTTGATTTTTTTTAATCCCATTACTAACAACCACACTAAGAGATTTCTTTTCCACTCATTTTTTACAACTAGAGCTCCAATACAACTAGAATAAACATTTTCTGTAACCCAGGGTTGGCTAGTTTAAACCAAGTAGTTTTTTATAAATAAATAAAAAACTGGCATGGTTATTTTCAATAGAAAAAAATCTTTTATAGTACTTTACTTAACTTTAAGGTATTTTTATGAATACTTTTAGCTTAAATTTAACTAAATGAAAAAAAATTAGTAAATTTTCTTATAAAAATATTTTTAATCGTAAATTAAATAGCTAATCTGAATCTGTGTTGTGAGCTAATAAGCATATATGATATGTAGTTTTGAATGTTCATGCTTTTCTGTAAAACTATATTTCTAAAATAAATTAATTTGAAGAAATTTAAATTTAAGTCATAATTCTCCAAAAAATCTTAAAATAATACAGACCATACCAACTCCATGTTTTGATAGTGTTTATTTTTCGAATTTTTTCATAATATATCTATAAAAAAATTTTTATTGTTTGTATGCAGTATATTTTTATTAATGATTCAATTTTTTTCGTAATATAATGCTTATATAAAAGAGCCTAATTCAAAAATATTGCCAAATATTCAAAATTCATTTAAAATATTATCAATATATATTATTTTATATAATAAGCATTGTTATGCTTGAAGCTTTATTTTGTTCAAATAAATCTTAAAAAAGTAGTTTATTCTTTACTTGTTATTAAACCATTAGTACTAAAACATACCAGTTACTTCACTACTTTGTATGTATGCAGCCCATTTGACATTTTTATTTTTCTCATTATTCTATTATTTTCTTAGAATTTTTAATTGAATATTACTCTAATTTTTTCACGGAAAAAAGACATGATTATTGTATTAAGTAAATTGATGCAGATGTTGTTAAGTAAATACAGCTAACAAATGACATTAAATACTGCTAAATTATGACATTTTCATGTTTACTGACAAACAAAGGGTTCATTTACATGCATTACTAAAATAACATTTTGATGTTAAATTTTTATTTGTTAGAAATGTTACCCAATGTATAAGCATATTCAAAATTTTCTATTATTCTTTTTTATCATGTTAGCATGCTTATGGAAGAAAAGTTTATATTTTTTAATTGTTCATTGATAAAATAAATTAATTGATTAAATGTAGAGCAAAAAGTATCATTTTACCCTTTGTTTTATATAAACCCAAAAAGCCTGGTTTAAATTTTTTTAAAGTTTGGGGGAAACTTCATGATCTGTAGCAAAATTGTTATGAAACATTTTTATCTGAACCAGGTTCAACTGTACATGAATTTTAAAATAAAACTAAAGTAAGATAAATATTTGCTGAAATAATGTATACATTTGGTAGTCTATAAGCATTTAAATAGACTTTTCTTATAATTTCAATATCATATATTACCAGTGAAAAACCCCATTTTCAGAAGGTTATTTTTCACTTTAATTTGATAAGTAATATAACTATTTTTTATGATTTTAAATTAAACTATTAAGAAAAATATATTTTATTAAATACTTAAATATCTTTTTAACATGTCAGATTGGCAAATTTTAGCAAATACTATTATATTGTGTGGTTAAACAATTCTTATTGGATCTCATTTTAAAAATTAGTACATAAAATTATTAATAGTGTTGATTTGTTTAAATTAAAAAAAAACAAACATATTTTTTGTTATATAATAATTATATTTAATTATAGCTTTTTCTATGTTAGTCATTAATCTGTATAACATGTTATTTATCGCCCTGAAATTTAGGTCATTAAAGTAAATATTAAAGGCATACAGAATAGAAAATATTGTTGTAAAAAAGTGTTACGGATTGTTTTTCATAACCACAAATCCCATCATAGTCTTTTTAAGATGTATGAATTCAAATATAAGGAAGAAAAAAAAGTAAGATCTTAATTTTTCTTTCTTTCTAATTGCAAGCTTTAAAAATAAAGATGTTGTAGGAAAAGCTCTTCAAAATAAGCTTTTATGCAACTTTTTTTATTCCATAGAACAGAAATTGTAGTACTTAAAATGGCTACCAGCAAAAGGTAATGGGACTTTTTTTACAATTTTTAAAGTATTAAGTATTTTAAAGTAATTTTAAGTAAGTGTTAATTAAAGCTTTTTAATCATAAGTGTAAAATTAAATTAATTCTACATTCAAGATGTCAAAGAAGATGTTCTGTAAAAATCTGAGTTGATCAGGTTAAGTAACTTATTAGTTTGATAAGAAATTCTATATATATGTGCAATGGAAAATTCATGAAGCTTTGTACTATATTCATAGCAATTCTTATAAATTGATATGTTGTTTTAAGTTTTTACTATTCATGTTAAGTTTTTCTCTTATTCTTAATTATTTACCTAGTTAATAATTGAACGAATCGAAATTTTATAAAGAAATCATTTGTCAGAAAAAAAAATTCGAGGAACTTTCAGAAAAAAAAAATCATTTGTCTACAGAATTTTTTTCTTCCTCCTGTGAAAATATGTTTTCCTAATGAAGTGATTTAGCTGTTTTTTTACACATTATTACTTAAATTTATTTTAAATATATAATTTATAATAAAAACTTTGAAAAAAATATATAATTTTATATGTCTCTATGTGTTCTGTCCTGCAGATGTTTTCTATAAACAATACAATTGATATTTTCCAATATTCAAAGATATACTTCTGTGATTTAGTTTATTAATGTAACTAAATTACTGTTTATTAATGTTCAAGTAACTAAATTGCTTTTTAATAATATTTAAATATTACTATAATTTTCACTTTTTGTGTTGCATGATTTTAAGCATACATTTATGAAATTTATAACACTAAAATTTGGGTTTTTGCAAAACTAACAAAATTATCTTTTCTGTTTGAAGGCTAAAACTAATCATTAGAATGAACCAAATTTTGTATACAGACTGAGCAAACAAATTCCACAAATAAATACAGTGCCAAAAGTCACTGATTACTGACTGTAAATCATGTACTGTATACCATACATATTTCTGTATGTACATTTTTTATTGACAAACCTTTTATTAAAATGTATCATAATCCACTTATTTAGTGTAATTATTTACCCATTTTTGCTCAACAGAGAAATTTATATTAAAACCTCCTGTACATGAAAAGTTTATAATTTTTTAATAATGAAAGTACGACACAAAATTAATCTTTGTTTGAGAATAAATCTATTTCATAAAAGGTCTTTTATATTTTCTTCTTCTTTTATTAATCTAAATGGAGATCTCTCAAAAAAAGCAAGTGTAGGAAACACTTCTTAAATTAAATTTTATTTCATTTTATAGAGTTAAAAAAATTTATTTCTAAAATGCAAATTTTATTCATGATAACATTCCTGTGAGTTATATGCTGGTTGCTTAAAATAATCAGCATGTTATATTAGGTGTTTCACTTATTATATTTATTCTCATAGGATAAAAATAAAATGCAATTAGTAAACACAGATTAGAGCTTTATATTACAATAATATGAATTTAAACTTATGATTGTTTTGTTTATTCTCTTTTATGTAGTATAAACATTTCCAAAGTCTGTAACTCTTGTTTCTACACTTTTTCTCACTATTTTATTATCTCTTGCATTAATATTTTAGGAAATTTGACACAATATATGCTTATACTGAGAATAAGAATATATACATAGAAATGTATTTTATTCTACAAAACACTAACTTTGATTATTTTTTGAATTACATTTCTATAATCTAGCAGCTAAATATGAGTTATTTTGTGAATTGACCAATTTTAGCCCAAAGTACTTATAAATTATTGTATATTTATCAATTTACTAAATGATATGTTAGATTCACTAAGTTCTCAGCCACTTAACTAGCTCAAATTCTAGCTTTGGCCATCACATGTACCCATGCAATCTTTTTCTGGAATAATTATGACATAAATAATAAAGTTTAAGTTCTATAAAGAAAATAATTTATAGTCAATATGATTGGACATTTACTGTACTTTGAAGAAAATTTTAACTGATTTCCAAGCAAAAATAAGTTTATTATTTTTAGGAAGAAGTTTAATAGATTCATTAGTTTATAGGTATATAATGATTAAGATTTTTGTTTACCTTGTTTGTTCTGCATGCCTCCTACGTAATTTAACAAGCTTCTCTTTCTCTTGTTAATCATTAGATAAAACTTCTCTAAATAATTTTATAATATTAAAGGACACTTCACTACATATTATTATATAAGTTTTACTTTATAAATCTGATATACACTAAAATCAATTAAGAAAGCAAAATTATTATTTTTGAAGTGCTGAATTTTCTAAAAATAACTGCCCCACCTTTAGTATCATCGATTTATCTGTTTGAAAATGTAAAAAAATAATAAGTAAGCAAATAATTGTCCTTCAGCTTCATTCAAAATACTTAAGGAAAAATTAGTTAAAAAAATATCTTTAGTATAAGTGGTTTGCAGATTCTGTATTTACTTATCCTCTGTTGGTTTAAAAAACAATTCTTGAGCAGCTAAATTGGTTATGAGTCATCCTGATATCCCTGATTATTTTGATGAAATTATTATGTCTGATATTCCTGATTTTTATGTATTTTCTGATCCAGCATCTTTTTATTTTATTTAATAGTGTTAGCAAAAATAGCGAAACTTGAAAGTTTGAACTTACTTCGAAACCGTTCACGGATAGTAAACATGATTCAGACACTTTTTCTAACTGGTAGGATTCATTGTATTAAATTTTGGGGGAGTCATTTTATGAAAAAAGAACTTCATCAACAATTTTAAATTAAAAATTTTTTATTGTGATGAATCCAGAGTTGCGTTGTTTATTATTTGAAGCAAATGTCGTAACAAATCTTGTATAGTAGAATTTTACAATTTCCCATTTATTTATTCATCTTTTTTATCCAATTTAAAAATTATTAATCCACATCAACAATATAGTAATCATCGAATTTTTAATTGCTGAATTGTGGAATCATCCACTAAATTACTTATAAAGGAAAATATTAAGCAATATATTTTTGTGTGTTTTAATTTCAAGAAAATAGAAAAGCTATTTCAAAATTATTTTATGAAGGAAGCCTTGAACTTGATTATAAATTATGACTAAATATTGGTATGAAGGAAGATCAACTATATGATGCTAGTTATTATTATTATTATTTTTTTTATGAAGAATATTATAAAAAATTTCTATGGATAGATCTCAAACTATAATAAGTTATTTAATACTCCATTTATGAAATTTTTGTGGAAAATATCTAAACTTTCTGTTCTGAACAAAGTAACTCTGAATATAAGAATAGTATTTTTTTTATTTATTTGCAATATTTTATTGTTTATTGCCTTTACTATACTTAAGTAGAGAAATTTATGTGTTTTTTAGTTTGTCATTGGCCCTTTCTAAAAGCAGTCATTGCATACTGTATCATAAAGTGCCCTAATCTTTTTACTAGAATGCTACAAAAATAGCATAATTTTAGAATTTTTATCGTTAAAAATTTCTAAAATTATTAATAATCGGGAGCTTAAAATAGAATAGTATTTTCAAAACGCAATAATTCAATGTTTTGTAATAGGATGTTTTCCTCTTAAAGTTTGAATAAAATTTTTCACTAGAAGTAGGCATCTGATTATATCATGCTCTATCTATATATTTTAAACCTTACTAAATTTGTTCTTAATATTTTTCAGGAATGTTTTTAAATTTTACAAAAATAAAAGCAATATACTTCCCTAAAAAATATTCTAGATTAATTAGACATTTTAATAAAGGAATATTGATCAAAGAAGGAAAAAAAATCACTTGTAGAAGTCAAATTTTTGGATTACAGTTCTCATTACATAAAAAATGCTTACTAAAATATCAAACCTAAGTTACCAATAGTGCTGACTTTGTTATAGGTCTAATATGAAAAGTAAAATACACAGGTTTTGCGCAGACTCCATAAATCCACATCCTATCTCGATCGTTTTTCCAGGAGTTACACTTTCGATTACCTGCAATTTCGTTTGTACATGTTTTGTTGATCTATTTTAACAGTTTTTGCCATAATTTATCAGGCAAACAATACTTAGTCATTTTTTAGATAACTTTTAAAAATCCTACTTTTTTACTTTCTTAATAAATATATTATTATAACATGCAGATTTTTTTGAGAAATTTCTCAATGTGAAAAAAATTCATATTTAGTTTTTTTTTTAATTTTCTTAATATAATTATTAAAGATTTAGCTACTTTTTATTTTCTTATGATGAAAAATCAATGATTAATAAATAAAATGAAATTATTTGTTAAAATTTTATTTCTTAATATTTCTATTACTTCTTCATTATATTAAATTGTAGTTTTTTTGTCTTTTCTTTTTTGGAACAGATTTTGTTATTCAAGTTGAGTAGAAAATTTTGTTTTTTACTTTTTTTTCAGTAGTTATTGATCAGAAAAATTGGTTTTATAAAGATTTGCATTCTAATTTTTTTCTCTATGCTTTAAAACTTCAGACTCATTCAAACATCTTGAGATATCTTTTAGTCTTGAGACACTGATTACTAATAGGGAATGAGTAGGTTACTTTTTGATTTAAACTAACTGATTTTAAAAATAATCAATGGTTGATATTAATGTTTTAATAAAATATTTTTATTTTAGTTGAAAAAATTCAAATTCAGCTATAAAAAATAATTTAACTTTAAATGCAAACTTAAAATCTTAGGACTTAGAAAACAGTTAGTACATATTTATTTCATTAAATATAAGTTGTATACTAGTGATTATAAACATTACAGATTAATTCCTTACAAGCTGTAGAGATTTATCTTTGATCATTACTCAAATTTCTATCATTTTAATTTAAAAAATTGGCAATAAAAAGGTATTGAAAAATTCAAAAAATATGGACTTCTTTAAGAGTATTTCAGAAATACTTTAAGATGTATGATACTATATAGATTATATTTTTATATACTATTACTGCATTCTGTGGTAATAAATTTTTTTATTGTTCTTTAATTTTGTATTTTTATAAAAGAAATATAAATTCATAACCAGTATTTTGTGAAACATTAATATATTTTTAAAGAAATCATTTAAAATTCTAATCAATTACCAAAAATTTAAGAAAAAAATAAATCAAGAATATTGATTTTTTCCAAAAGTTGTTAAATCCTCCACCCTAATGCTGTGTGTATACTTATCTAAAAGTGGCTACCATTTTTTATGACTCTGGAAACTATATACTAATCTAGAGCGCTATCATATAAATATAACATTATGTAAACTTTCTAAAAAGAAAAATTGATATTTCTGAAACCAGTGAACCTTTATAGATACGTTTATGAAATATAATTCCCACATTTATTTTGTTCTACATTCAAAAAGTTTTTTATTTGGAATCATATTCACAGAGAGTAATATCCAATAGTTTGCCTAAAATTTTATGCTCTACATCAGCTTTGAAACTTTCCCAAAGTTATTTATTTTTATACGTGTTAGTTGATTTGATAAGTATGCTTGCATAGTTTTGTATGAGTTTTAAAACTATATGAATAATTTTAGTTTGTATCATTGAGCAGAAGTGTATCTGGTAATGTTGGCACAGAACATTCTGTTATAAACAGGGGGAAGAATGTTGAACCTGACCCAGTGTAAATATTTGTGTCACCTAATGGATGATGAATATATGTTTTTGATACCTGTAACAAAATACACTATCTGCTCTTTTTTTAGATTTTCCAGGCGTGTACTGAGGAACTTTTTTTTATTTATTTTTAAGTTGTTTTTTTTATTAATTAGTATATTGAAAAATAAAACCTCTATAGTACTTACATTTAAAAACAGAGCTAAGGTAGATAAATAGCATTTTCTTTAAAACAAACACCTTTTTTTAAGAAAAGTAATTAACTTTTGTTAGGCCTACTGAAAATAAAAAAGTGAATTCTTGTTTTACCTTAAACCAATATCAGTTCAACAAGCTTAGAAAAAAAGAACTTAAGTGTTATGCATGGAGTAACATTTAATGGCCCAAGGTCATAATTCAACACCGTTTTTATCTTAGACCAATTCT